CTGGTTGTTTATTTAGATATAAGTTTTATTATTAATTTATCTTATAAAGCTTACTAGGATAACTAAAATCTAAAAAATTATTCTTTTTTAAAAGCTTATAAAATTACTATATAATATATCGGGAAAGCTAGAAATTACTAATTTAAAACCAGTTTACTATTCCTATTATTATTTATTAAGCTTTTTTTCAGAAATAATTAATTTTATAATTCTTGTCTTTTTTATAATAAATAATTCTTTAGAATTATTAACCTTTAAACTAATAATATTCTATTTATTAGAACTAATAATTGTGTAAAAATAAAATAACTAAAGCTCTAGGAGGCCTAAGTTTTTTGGCTAAGAAATATTAAATATCTTATTTCTTAATATATAATCTCAAGTTTAATAGAAGTATTATTTTATATAAATACTACTAGAATTACTCTTATTTAGAAATACTAATATAAAAACCTCTGAACTATTTCTATAAAAAATATTACTACTATAAGTAATAGAAATACTATTTATTAAAATCTCTCTATTAAGAACTAATATATTACTTAATATACTAGAAAAGTATATATTATATTAGTTTATTAACTAGAAGCTTTATATAATCTATTAATTATTATTTAAGTTAAAATTCTTAGAAACTAAGTATAAGGCATTTAATAAATATATTTAATAGTAAATTAAGAATATTACTAGAAGACTAAGATTTATAAAGCTAGTAAAGAAGTTCTTATATTTAATTATTTTTATAAATGCTTTATTTATAAATAATAGAGATTTTTCTTTCCAAATTAGATATATTCTAGTTCTAGTAAATAAAACTAGATATATTAATATTATTTATTAGTTCTCTACTAAATATAAAAGAATTACTAGAAGTATTCTAGTTTTAGGACTTTATAATATAGCTTATAGCTTTAATATAGGCGCTTTAATTAAATCTATAATTAATAAAATACTAGAAATAGAACTACTATTAGTAGTTTATATAGATTTGAAGTTATTATATAAATGCTTTATTAAATTGGGAATTATTTAAGAAAAGTATCTAATAATTAATATAATATATCTTTACTAAATATATAAATAATAAGAGATTATAGAAATTAAATAAATTAAGAGAAAATCGAATTCTATTAATTTTGTAATAAAATTAAAACTAATAAATATTCTTAAATATCTAATTAATATAAATATAATATAATTAGATATAGAGAAATAAATTAAATATAAATAGAACAGAAATAAATATATAAGATAGAAGAATATTATAGAAAGAGATATTATATATAAAAGGCTATAGCCTTTAATATATAACTAAAAACCTTAAAAGTAATATAAATATATAAAATATTTAGGGAAATCTAGTATTAGGCCAGATTAGAGAATTTATATATAATTAGAAAAAAGTATTATTTTTCGCGTTTTTTAGAGAGTTTCTAGTATTAGTATAACTATTTCTTTAGAAGTTATATATATAGTTACGGGATAGGAGATATAGAATATAGGTAATGAGATATAATTATATAATCTTATATCCTATAAATAACTTGACTAGTAAACTAGATTCTATTAAGCTTAGTAAATTTAGGAATTATATATTAATATTATAATATTATACTTTCTATTTCTAGAAATAATAACTTTATTAATCCTATATAAATAGTATTTTATATTTATATAATAGTATTATATATTACTAGTAAACTAATAATATTAAATAAAAGCAAAAAATAAACTAAAATTAGCTAATAAATACTATTTTTTAATTAGAAATAATTTTATTAAAAGAACTAAAAATTAAAAAAAAATTTATATAATTTTAATAAACTCTAGAAAATTAATAGTTTTATAATATATAATATATCTTATTATTTTAGAGTATTAGTTAATAACTATAAGAATTATATTAAAATTAAAACTTTTTATTAAGTTTTTATATAATAATAAATTTATAATAAAATCTATAAAGATTTTATTTTAGGGTCTTTTAGACTATAATAAACTATTAAATAAATTATATAGTAAATACTTCTTGGTTTTAATTCTTTAATAAATATTATATTTTTAATAATACTTATAAATATTTTCTTTTATATTTTCCTAATACTAGAATCTTTTAAAAAACTTAAGAGTTTTCTTTATTTTATAATAATTCTTAAATAATACTTAAATAAACCTAAATTATTTCTTTAGATTTCTTTATTTTTAATATCTTTTTTATTAAGCCTTTATTTTAAAATATTCTAATATTAAGAATTATTTCTTTAAGCTATCTAAATAATATTTAAAAGAAATTTAAATAAAGGAACTAATATTATAATTCTATTAATAATTATATATATTTATATATAAGAAACTAAATATTTATAATTATTTAATTTAAAAACTAGAAAAATTAATAAGTTTTTAATTTTATTAAATAATATAATTATAAATATTCTTATTATTTTAGCTATAATAATAAAGCCTTTAAAGTATTTCCTTATATTTTACTTTTTAACTAGTTTTATAATTAAGGAATTTATAAAATTATTTATTTATTTATTTTATAATTAATATTCTTTTTTAGCTATTATAAATATAATAAGTATTAAATAATATTTATTTCAAGAAAGAAACTCTTTAGATATTTATAAGAATGTCTAAATTCTAATTATAAAGCTTTTTTTAGTTTATTTTAAAAAGTTAAAAGCCAAGGTATATTAATAAGGTCTTTTTTATAATTAGGCCTTTTACTAAATTTATTTACTAAATCTAATATACTTTTATAATAAATAATCTTAAAATTATATATTATAAAATATATTATAAGATATATTATAAAATATATTTAATAGCTTTTTAAATATTTTATTTTTATAAAATATTTGAGATTATTATAATTTATAATAATCTCGATTATTAACCTGAATTCTTTAAAATAATAATATTAATATTTAAAGGCTTTAGTAATTATAAATAGCTTTCTATTATAAATATTATAAATATATTTAGTTTTAGAAAGTTACTAGAACTAGAATATTATTAAATACTAGTATTTTCTTAAGCTATTACTAGAATTAATTTATTATAAAATAATATTAATAATTGCGAATTTTAATATATTAGTTTTAATATATTAGTTTTAATATATTAGTTTTAATATATTAGTTTTAATATATTTTTTAATATATTAGTTTTAATATATTAGTTTTAATATATTAGTTTTAATATATTAGTTTTAATATATAAGTTTTAATATATTCGTTTTAATATATTAGTTATAATATATTAGTTTTAATATAAATTCTTTTAAAAGAATTAAAATAAATTAAGATAAGTATTATAATAAAAGCTTTTAGTTACTTTATTTATTTATATAAAGAAACGAGATTTTCGGCCCTTTTCTATTTCTTTTAGGAGATTTATTAAGCCTATAATTACTTAAAAGTAATAATAAATAAACCTATAATAGAAATTAGTAAATTCAAGAAATATTTAAATATTATAAAATAATTTTAGTTCTTATTATTTAATAATATTATAAACCTATTTAGAATTTACTTAAATATCTTTTATTTTAATAAAAAAGCTTAATAATTTAATTTCCTTAATATTAAACTTATATTTACTAAGTTTATAAAACAGATTATTTTTATATAATCTAATAAATATAATTATAGTATTTATTCTTATTTCGGGAATAAATAAGAATATTATTTAAATAAATAATTATAAAACAATTTAAGAGCTTTATAAATATAGTATTAATATATATTTGAAATATAACTAATATATTAGTTAGCTTAAAAGATATTATAAGATATTTAAAATAGCTATAATAAGTTCTAAAAGTTATTTTCTAATTTTATAAATATTTTCGCTTTTTAAAACTAATTAAGGATTTTATTAATAAAAGTAAATAAATATTAATTTTTGATTATAACTTAATTAAATTTATAATAATTAATATAAAGATATAATTCTTTATTTTTCTTAAAAATAAAAACAATAAGCGCTTTTAAAAAAGAGGCTTTTATTAGGCCTTATATAATATTTATAAAATATATTTTATAAATATAAATATAATACTTTTAGTTAAATTTCTAATAAATTATATAAAGATTTATATAGAACCGTGCTATTTATATTAATAAAGTATTTAATATTACTAAGATTAGGAAGTTTTAAAGCTTTATTAGAATTAAAAACCTTTAAGAAATCTTCGTATTTATTATTTTAAAAATATGTAAATATTTCTAAGGCTTTTTTTTAAATAATATTAATTTACTATATTAAAAATTCTTATTTAATATTATTAGAATTATATAATAAAGCAAAAATCTAATAATTATTATAAATATATAAAACTTATTATCTAAAATAGTTATATTTACTTTTAGTTAAAAATAAAACTTAAAATATTAGCTTAAAATATAAGTTAAGCTTTTTATTAAATTCTTTTAATATTAGAATTTTAATATTATTAGGCTATAGAAATATATATATATATATATATTATTTTTTAATATAGTTTATATATTATATAATAATTACCTTATAAAATTTTATATTAAAAATAAGGCTATAAAAGCAAATATTTTTATATTTATAAAACCAGAACTTAAAAGAATATATCTTACTATAATTATTTATAATAAATATCTTAAAATTATAGGCTTAATAGATTTTAAATTTGTTTCTATAAAAGGTTATAAATTCTTAATTATATTTAGCTAAAATAATAAAGCTTTGGCTTTAAGCTTAATTATTATTAAGAAAGTTATAATCTAATTTATTATTATTAAATCTATTATATATTTTTAAGGTATTTATTTCTGGCTTTATTAATCTTATTTAAATAATTATATAAAATTATTTATCTTTTTTATTATAGCCAAAATTATTAATATTTAAGATTTGGCTTTTTTTTTTCTTAAAAGAGTTTCTTTTAAAGTACTCTTTTATTATAATAATATAAATCTACTTTTATAAAAACCTTAATTTTTTTATAATTTTGGCCTTATTAGGGTTTTATTAAACTTATTTATTATATTTAAAATATTTTATATTTCCTAAAAAGTATTCCTTTTAGTTATAAGTCTAATAAACTATATCTAAAGTAAAACTAGTACTTTAGTAAAGCCTAAAAGTAGTTAAAGCATTATCTGAGAATTTTTTATATAATTTTCGAAACTTATTTTTTCTTTTTTAATAGTCTTATAAATTAGAATTCTTAAAAGTAAAGTTACTTTTACTAGATTCTTTTATCTTTACTTTTTTTCATTTAGAATAAGTAATATATTTTATTTTCTGAGTCTTTTTAAACTATTTAGAAATAAATATTACCTTATTTTCAAAAAAAAAAATTAAGTATCTAATAAGTTTTATAATTAAATAAAGTAATATTAAAAATCCGGATTTTATTTCTTTTAAAATATAAATTCTAATTAACTTTAAAACTAATTATTTAAATATATAATTTAATAACTATTTTTTAATAAAGATTTTAAAGTTTCTTAAAGGCATTTTATTAATAGGTTTAAGGTATTTAAAGTATATTAGCTAAATAGACCATAAATTACTTCTAATAAATCTTATATAATAATAGGCTTTATTTTATTATAGCTTTTTAAATATTATAAGATTTGTTTTTAAAAGTACTTATAATAAAGTTAATTTTAAAAGAGTATTTATTATAAGTTTAAAATTAAATTTTAAAAACTTTCTTCTAGAAAAATATAAATATTCTTTATTTTTTAAGGAACTTTCTATAATATAAATTAGGTATTCGGACTTTAAAAAGTTTCTTTTAATATAAATATATTTTTAGAATATTATATAATAGCTTCTAATAAATAATATCGAGATTATTTTTAAAACTTATTATATTAGAAAAGGAAATAAATTCTAATTTTATTTTAAGAAGTTTTCTAATAAAAATTACTAAGATAAAATAAACTTATAAATAAAGTTTTTATAAGAGATAATAAATTACAAGATATTTCAAAAAATATTCTTATATTATTTTAATTATAAAATATATAAATCAATTATATTTACTAATTCTTACTTTTATTAATATATTTTAATTTTAATATATAAGCCCTATTTAATAGCTCAAATAATAGTAATTTGAATATTAATTTGAATATTTTAATTATTACCGGAATTATTTTTATTATTATTACTGGCTTTTAAAGGCTTTTAAAGAGTTCTATTAAAAATATTAGATAAGCCTTTACTATTACTTATATTAAGATTAATTTAATTAATTTCTTTTATAAGAATAGCTTTAGTAAAGAATTATATATTTCGTAAATTTCGAAATATAATTATTTATTAAATTATCTCTTTTAAGAATAAAAAGATTAATTTATAAGATATTTATTAATAAATAATAAGATAATAAAATAAATTAATAAATTATAAAACTATAATATTAAATTTAGTATAGAACTAATCTCTATTTTTTCTATAAGATTTAAATAAGCCTCTTCTAAATAAAAGCTTTTAATAATATATATATATATATTTAGTAATTTATAAGCCTAAGCCTATAATATAAATAATAATATAATTATAATATTAAAGAGCTATTAATCTCCCTAATTAATACCCGTAATATTCGAGGTTTATTATATATTCTTTAATTATATATAATTCTATATATATTATAATATTATAGTATTATAGTATTTAATATTTTTTTTAATTTTATTTATAATAGTAATAGCTTTAAAAATATTATTATTATAGCTATTAAAGTTCTTATTACTTTTAGTACTAAAACTATTATTACTTTTATTAATAATAAAAAGATTATTATTATTATTAAAATTATTATTCTTAAAACCGAAATTCTTTTTTCTTTTCTTTTTAATATTAACTAGTTTTATAGGCTAATAACTAGTATTAAAAAAGAAAAGTAGAATTAATATAAATTATATTTAGTACTATTTTATAGGAAATATAAAAGTATTATAGGCCTAATAATAATTAAATAAAAATAAGAAATTATTTATATTTAAACTAAGCTTTAATTTAATAATATTATTAAGCCCGAATATATTAATATATTATAAATATTAGTAATTATAAATTAAATAAATAATAATAATTAAGAAGTAATTGACTTTTAGGGCCTCTTTTCTAATATTAGTATCTATATAATAGCTATTCTTTTAATTAAATAATATTTTAAACTATATTATATATTATTATATTATATTTCTTTTATTTACTCTATTTTTATTATAAATATATTTAAAGAATACTAGTATAGTTTTCTGGAAATAGTTTCGAATTAAAAAACATTAATTCTTTCTTAGCTTATTATAATAGAACTTGCTTAAGAGTTAGAATAATTAATTATATTAATAGTATTTTAATTTAAAGGTATTTTTTCTTTATTTAATAAACTTGCTTTTAATACCCGAAAGATTATTCTTAGTTATATTATAATAGAAATATAAAATAAGAAATAATATAGAATATAAAATCGACTTCTATAATATGAAATTAAAGACTAAAAGTTAATTTATTAGTTTTTTTCCTAAGAATTAAGAAAAAGAGCAGGGAATATATATATGAAACCGGATATATAAATATCCGGGGGTTATCTAATTATATTATATAACTAATAGAAGTAAAATCCCTATTATATACTTTCCTTATTTATAAATACTCGTTTCCTAAATATATTTCAAGACAAGAGCTTTAAACCTATTTCTAAAATACTATAATAATTATAAATATTATATACTCTTATATTATATATATTACTAGTTCCAAACTCCTATATTTCCCGTTTAATTCATTATTTAAATATTAGTAAATATTCTATTTTTATACGAAAATTATATAAATTATATTTATAATACTTATAAATTCTCTCTTTAATACTAAATATACTTAAAGTATAAAGAAATATTCTCTTTAATACTAAATTATATCTAAAATATAAAGAAATATATATTTTCTCTCTTTTTACTATATTATATAAATTGTATCTAAAGTATAAATAAATACTTTCTCTTAATACTAAATATATCCAAAGTATAAGGAAATACTTTTTCTCTCTCTTTTTGCCGAATTATACGAATTATATCCAAATTACAAATACTCTCTTAATACTAAATGTGCCCAAAGTATAAGGAAATACTTTCTCTTTAATACTAAACGTGCCTAAAGTATAAGGAAATACTCTCTCTTTAATATTAAAATCGTATCTAAAGTATAAGGAAATACTTTCTTTAATACTAAATATACCCAAGGTATAAGGAAACACTCTCTTTAATACTAAACGTGCCTAAAGTATAAGGAAATACTTTCTTTCTCTCTGCCGCATTAAATAAATCGTACCCAAAGCACCACTTAAAGCACTTACTAAAAGCACCCAAAATCATACGAAATATCTGTACTAGCACCTCTGCTATTACAGCCGTAATGCAGGCATTACTAGTCTTAAAGAGACTAAAGGAGGGTTTCGAAAGTCGGAAATCGGAGAGGAGGGAACCGTAAATTGAAGTAGGGGACCATAAATTGGAGAGGAAGGAACCGTAAATTGGAGTATGTACCAGAACCTCTATAACTGCTATAGGAACTACAGAAATTACTAGGCTTGGAATCGAACAAAGGGGGGGGTAAAGAAGTGCCGAAACTGCCGAAATCGTATGTAAAGGGGGAGAGAATCGGAAGTCGAAAGCGTAAAAGGGGAATCGAAGGAGAGAAGGGTCCGTAAATCGAAGTGTATGCCAGAAACCTCTATAACTGCCACTGCAACCACAGAAATTACTGGGCTTGGAGTCGAATAAAGAGGAGGCAAAGGAGGGTTTCGAAAATCGTTGAAATCGTACGGAA